ATCCCTGTGCGGGAGAAATCCTCGGTTAATAACATTACAAGAAAATTCATCTGGAGGGCAGCCATCCTCTTCCATATTTCAGAAAGCTTCCAATGCTTCATCTAGCAATCCTTCTTTATAAAGTCTATTCATTATTGTGAAAACAGCTCCCTTTCATCTTAATTTAAGATTCCCGTATTTGCACATGGCATCAACAAATTCCATTTGTTTGGTCAGAGAACCCACATTCTCATAATGTCTCATTCTAACAGCTGCAGACAATAATTTATTGAATTGGATAATACAAGGCCAGGGTTTACCATGAAGCATGTGATTGAAACAAGCAAGGGCATCATCAATGTTTATAAAAGAAGAAGAAGAAAGCATCATCTTTGTTGTGTTTTTCTCTACTCCTAATGCTTCTGCTACAGCTAGAAGAAGAAATGGAGTCGGAGTGGTTGCTGGTTATTTTTTTAAGTAACGGCTCTCCACACCCATTCCAGTCATTGTTTTAAACCTACTTTGAGGGCTCTCGGGAGTGCTTTTTAAAAGAACTTTTAAAAAAATTTAATTTTTTTTTAAATTAATATATTTTTGATATTTTTAAATTATTTTGATGTGTTAATTTTAAAAATAATTTTTAAAAAATAAAAAAAATATTATTCACATACTTTTCTACTTTTCTGAATAAAAAACATTTAAAAAAATAATTACAAGCATGCTTCTAAATATACTCTTTAAACCTCTAAAACCTTGCTTTCTTTACAAATTGGATCAACCAACATGCTGAAGTAACAATATTTGGTATGATATTCAAACTTGTCATTTCATTTAGCAATGCAAAATATTTAAATGTATTTTTTTAATAATGTTTTTTGTTTATATTATATATATAAAAAGATTAATTTATTTAATACTAGAAAAGCATAATAGTAAAGTTCATAATCTTAAATATTAAATATAAAAGGATAAAAATATATAAGAAACCTAAAATAATTACAAAATAAAACCTTAAATTTAATTAGAATTACATAAGAAAACCAAAAAAAAAAAACTGAAAAACAAGACTTTGAAATTTGCTTGGACCAAGTTTGCAAACAAACCTTTAAGAGCCCAAATATACTCCCCTTTTTTTATTAATTTTAATTTTGTCAAACATGATCTTAAACGCTAAAGATTTAGTGCAGTCATGTTAGCTAGGCTTCCCAGCCCAAACTGAAGCAAGCTTTGTTTAAGGACACAAGAGGGCTTTAAAAAACCAACACGTGGCCCAGTGGAGTTTCTTTTTTAAAACTAGTTTGGAAGGGCCTGATCCATTACGAAAAAGCAAGTATTATTTTTGTCCATCAAAATAGATGTTCTGCCAACCAAAATCCCAAAACTTTGCTGCTGTTTTTTTTTTTTTTTAAGAAAAAGAACCCCTTGACCAAAATTAAAATTTTTTGTGAGAATTTTAATATATCTATAAATGATCTTCATTACAAATTTATATAGAATAGTATTGATTTTATGTTTTTCATTAAAAAAATCAATTTTCTTAAATTTCTAATTTAATTATAAAGTTAACCAAATTTTATTAAAACCCATTAAAATAAGTCATCATTTCTTAAATTATAACACATCTAAATTAAAAAATCAAACTTAATTTTATTAAATGACAGCAAGATTCAATTTTTCCCAAATCCAAAATAAACATTAGCATACAAGTCATATATTAATAAAAGAAAATTTTCTAAGAAAATATTTTAAATTAAAATACTGAAATATACATACACACTATAAAAAATAAATCAATAAATTAACTTAAAATATAAATGAGTTATAGAAAGATGAGTCAGTCTATTTATTTTGTGTATTAAAACTTAAAAAAAGAAAAATCAATAATCGATGTTGACAAATCCAACATATTTATATGAATTTTAAAAAATATTTCTTGATGTAGCATTACTCCTACAAAAACTAATCTACATATATAAAGTTATTTTAATATAAAGTTATTTTAATATGCTAATTAAAAACATGGAAATGATGTAACTTAAATTTAAGAACCTTTGGAGTTATCTAATGTCTACAACAATATGACAAATATAGAAGACGTTGATGGGCACAAGTTTCTCTCTCCAAAGCGAGCATGCTTCATGAGTTCATGAGCGTGTTGTGCCCCATTTACTTGATTTCTTTTAAGGCATTCAATGGTCTTGTGACTAATGAAAATAACCACTTTTTTATTTTTTAAGAAGTTAGTGTTTTAAACTAATAAATCATTTTCATCATCAGGACCCACCAAGGTTTCGATATTCCCATAGTAAATAAAAAGTTTTAAAGAGTTTCAACACCATTAATTAGCATACAAGATAGCAGAGATTTGTTCAAGAATAAATGCCAGTAACATCATCTTTGGTTGGAAGACAAAAAATGTCAATGTCTTCTTCCATTAAGTAACACTATGATTTGCTTCTTTGTGTTTATCATCTAATTTCTTTGTTTAATTATGGAAGCTACTTATAATTTCCATGAAAAGTCCGCTGTCCACTCTTTTTAAACCCTGATGCAGACGCTATTACCTTAGGATTTAGCCATGTGTACGGTGGATATCAACCTCATTTTGCATGAGCTACACGATAAATAGCAGGTCAGAACCTGGAAATTGAATCATCAAGAGCGAACCAGCTTGAGCAAATTCAGTTTCTGAGCAAAGGCTTTCCAGGCCCCTTTATCCTATTTTACCCGCAGAAAATGTCTGGCTGTAGCTGTGGCTCTGACTGCAAGTGTGGCAGTGGCTGCAAGTAATTACTAGTTCTTTTCTTGTCAAGCTTCTACTAATTAGTCCCTTAAAGATACTGAAAAGGGCACCGATAGATTAGTTACTTGTATTCTCTCTTCTTTCTCCTTGAATTTCCCTTGACTGTAGTCTGAAACTCACTTTTCTGTGGTTGCAATCTTCTTGTGCTTGGCAGATGTGGCATGTACCCTGACTTAGGTTTCTCAGAGAACACCACAACTGAGACAATCATTGCAGGTGTTGCACCAGTTAAGATGTATGTATCACTCAATTCATATATTATTATTTTCATGCATCGAAGTTTAACTAAGCCCCCAAAGGAGGCCGCTCTGACGCACTGGGACATTCCAATGATTAAGGATTTGGATTTCCAATCAATATTCTACTCTTATATTTAAGATCCAAAAATGTTCTTTTTAGAACACTAATATTGTGTTTACTGAAATTGTTCTGCTACTTCTGCAGGTTCTATGAGAGGTCTGAGATGGACTTCGGTGCTGAGAATGGCTGCAAGTGTGGATCGAACTGCACCTGTGATCCATGCTCCTGCAAATGAGGAAACATGGGCATGGTTCCAACAAAGCAGTAGTTAATCAATCAGTTGGTCAGCTCATGTATGTATAATGGTGCTTCTTGTTAAATAATAATAAACAGCAAGGGTTCCTAAAAATCCTTTGTCTTGTGTACGCGTCACTGCTTTGTTGGCTGCTTCAACTTTCAAGGTGTTTCATGCATGCTTGGAAACTTGAACTGCGTGGAGTTGATTATTATTAATGAAATTAGTTTCTGTTTTCATGGTTGTAAACCTTTTCTTCTCTTTTACCTATGGATCATTGACTTCTTCTTACCTGCTTTGACAGTATTGATTTTGCCCTTGTAAATATATTATAATAATTAAAGTATAATATAAATTATATTTTTAATTATTAAAAAATAATATAAATTACATTTTAAAATTATATTTATTAATTTAAAATTTTAAACTAAATTGGTTTTTTAATATAATATTATAGTCTTGATTATCAAATAATTATAAATTTAAATTTTATCATCTTAATTCATTTAATAAAAATTTAATTACAAGATAATATAGATTTGTATGAGTTTTAAGGTAAAAAAAACTTTTAAATGATATATTAATTAAATTTATAAATTTATAAAAGTTTCAAAAAAAATTATTTAAAAGCTTAACCTAATCTTTCACATCCAACTAGACGTTCCCGTCACGATCAATTTTGACATTGTTAACAAGTTTTGTGCCGTGATCGTCTTATCATGTCCGATTATAACATTGAAGTCTACAAGCATACAACCATATGATTCCAACCAGAAGAAGCTTCCCTACGAAAAATCACTTGGTTTACAACCGCATGTTCGGGCGTGTGCAGTACAAAATGTTCATAATATTCCTAAAATAAATGTGTTTAATAAAATAAAATAAAATAAAAATTATATAAACTAATAAATTATTAAAAAAATTGTTAACAATAAAGATGGAATGCTGAAAGATAAATGCACTTGTTGACGTGGGGCATTCTTCGAATTTTAATTCTATTTAATTATAGGGCAATAAAGAGCACAACTAAAATAATTTAATAACTATGGCATGCATAAGATTGATTGGTAGTTAGCCGTTTTCTATATTTAGCAAATTGATCCTTATATTTGCATGTAATTTCTTTGGCGTGTGGGATGCGAATGCTGCCAAGATGATACGTGAATGGATGAGTACTAGAAATTAAGACATGATTGAAAAACAAACATATAATTCAAGCACCATTACAGAACATAATCCAAGGTGATATTGGTGACTTGCACGTCACGATGCCCAACTCACTAAGAACGGATCTTACTCTAATTCTATTAACACATTTTCTCTCTTATTTGTGTTTGTTTTTTTTAAATAATAAATCCAAAAAAAATAATTACTCGTAATCCCTCCTGAGAAGCAGGGAAGGGAAAGTGAAGTTTAATTTCAAGTTATATTCATCATGGTACTTCTTGAAGGCAAAGAAGAACAAAGATGCAAGGATTACTACAGCTATGTAGAATTTCAGTTCCACTTAGAGATATTAACATGGAGAGGATAGGTAGAAAAATAAACTTCAGATTACAAAATCCACAAGCCAATCGCACAACACAACAACAACAACACAAGTTCTTAAAAGAAAAAACATTTTTTTAAAGGGGAGAAAACCTTCCCTTTTGCACTTGAGACTGGAGAAATTGGGTAGAAAAATCAAGCATCGGACCAATGTATGTCCATTTCGCCCCATTGGTTTAGTGGCACTTCCAGCGCCGTCCAAACAGCCTTAGATGCATCAACAATATTGTTAGGGCAAGGAGGCTGGTAATCATGGTCAGCATCACACCCCATAGTAGAGTCACATTCATCGACTACCATGGCTTTGACACTCCTTCCATTACCATAGATTTTAATATAATTCAAGCACCTGCTCTTGTGATTAAACCATCCTGTCGAAAGTGCGACGACCGGTGTGTCATCAGAATGGTACTGATTGTCACATTCTGATGGCGCGCCACCATCTCCACCCTTCTCGAAACTATTAAGAGTTAGAGTTGCCTTTGTGTGATTGGTCGCTGGTGGTGAGCATTTGTAAGTGGTGTAAAGCCTTCCTTTTATACAGCAAAGAGAGTCATTCTCTTCATTGCATTGTCCTTTAGGAGCCTTTCTCCCCCTTATCTTACCGCTAGGCCTGCAGGTCTGAGCCTCGACACAAAAAGAACTTGCAAAAAGAAAGGACAGGCAAATGAGAAGAACACTAGACCAAACCTGCTTCTTCATATTTTCTTTCCTCTACAATTGTTTTTAGAAATGGTTTGGGGTGAAGAAGTTGCATTAGTGCAAGACTTTATATACATATTAACCTCTCTAATTGGATGAAATGAAGACATTATTGTGGTCTTTTCATTTTTAACAATCTCCGCAGACTGTTATCTCAGATCCTTGTTCAATATTACGAAGTATCAAGACTCGATCGATATGACATACTGGCATGGTGTCTTCATTTGATCAACCAAGCAATCTACTAAGACATGAAGCAAATCTGAATTTTCTAATACGTTGATCTCTAAGTCAAGACAGGCCGCATAAAAAACCCCATCACAAATCATGGGGCCGTAATAGTTAAGTTTATAGAATAATTAGAAAAATATTATACTGTTTGCTGCATGTGAATGGGATTCATTTACCTTCAAATCCTGATGCCTTATTTTGTTTTTTCTACTCTAGCAGACTCCTAGCATAAAAATATTCCTAATTCCATGTAGGTAGTCATCAATCTATCATTCTCATACTAGCATGAGTGTTTGAGCAGGCCAATGTTATATTTTACCCCTTTGAGAATCATGAAGAGTTCTTGCTTAAAATCTTCCATACTCCTGGTCATTCTTCTGTTCGCAGAGTATTGTTCACAAATTGAGGCTCAAAAATGTCAACCAAGTGGCAAAGTGGTGGGAAAGAAACTCCCACCTGAGGAGAATGACTAGGATCTGTTTTCCAGGCAAAGTCCTACTCAACCTACAAATGTTCGCCGCCAGTCTATAGCCATACCAAGGCCTTCCTGAAATTCAATGTCTTTGAAGAAAGTGGAGATTACCCACCCTACTGTGACGAAAAATTCCATCCTAATGATACACCACCTATAGCATTATCAACTGGATGGTACGATAATGCTAGTAGGTGTGTTAAACACATCAATGTAACTGCTAATGTGACTCAACTGGTGGTTGCGACAAAGATCATGATTATGAACCTCCTTGTGCCAACAACGTTGTGTCTGCCTCAAGCACTGTATGGAAAGCCTTGGGTGTGCCTCATGATCAATGGAGTGGTCTGAAAATCACATGGTCCCATGCTTAATTGAATTTCAACTTGGGCCTTGCACGTTAAAAGAATGCAGTTTATTTCTTATTTCCTATGTTGCTTTATTTCCAAGTGCATGTCAGGATTCAGGAGTGTAGCGTGGTGAATTTATATGGTATAATCCAGTTTACTTACTAAATATCTCTAGTAAATGGTTTTAAAATCTTAATTCAAAAGATTACTGAAAGTTAGGCATGGAAATTTAGTGGCTCTCTTCACTGTCTGAATCAAGGTGTTTCATTTTCAAATATGCTGCAAACAAAGGAGTGGGATTCAATTTTGGGAAGAGATTAAAAGATGCGAGGTTATACGAATTTTGCCAACATCACTAAATTTCTGTGAAGGACATTGCAAAATATACAGTTTCTGGTCTTGCACATGGAGATGTTCTGATTCCTGATGTACCATTTCCTAGTTGTCATAAGGGTGCTGTATTATCAACCTCAATGTTCCCATGTAAGTTGCAAACCTTCATTTTCCTGGTTGAATCTGAGCCTTGAAAATTTCCAACGAGCAATGGCAGCTTAATCATTCCCATGCTGCAAACGCTTCACCAACTGAAACGATTTTATTGGCATTGTCAGTGGTAGAGAATTGCCTAGCTGCAAAGTTTTGGCTTATTTCATTTCCTTTTCCTTTTCTGTTTCATGTTTTGACATATACATGATAAAGAATTCCAAGGGCAGCTGCTCTTGGACCAACCTTTGGCCCATTAACTGGCCTTTTGCTTCGGAACTAGAATTTTTATGCCTAGAACTCGCTTATCTTCAAAGCTTTATATTTCCCAAGGGTGCTGTGAAAAAAAGTTCCTTAAGTAGCCTCTGCCTCCTGTGCTAGCATGCTTTTTTTCTCTATCACATCTTGTTTTTATTAGCTAGGCAGAGGGAAAAATTGAGTTTCTAATCTCTGCATCAATCCAGGCTATGTATTGACAACTTCTCTTTGGATTTATTGAATAATGTTTAGTTGAGTGCAAGAAGTTTATAGTTTTGCAAGCAAAGTCTTTTGCTAATATTGTTTGAGAAACTGTCACTTCACATTTTTCTTGAAGACTTGAAAGACATCTTTTATTGGTTTATTGTCATCCAATTACACATGAGCCAGTTTGTTTCTTACAGAATTGGCCACAATCTCCTTGGAATATTGATTAAGAATTTGAGGATTCTTTTTCCAGGGGAGTACCCCTTCCTGTCTTGTAATCCTCGTAAACTTCAAGCCATCTTCCAAGATTTGAGATGAAAAATCTGAATTGTGCTTATGTCGATAATATTTTTGAACAACACTTTAAGACGACGTAGTACTTCTGTGCAGAATAACATCTGCAGAATCAATTATGACATGTTCCTTGTTTGAAAATGTTATTTAAACAGAAAAATATTGGAGTTTCGTATATTTTTAGGACATGTCATTTCATTTGAAAACCATATAAATATGGGCTTGAGTGGTAGAATACACAGAGGGGATTGGAGCAATAAGGTGAAGAACCAGTAGCCATGACATGGATCAGTAGGAAAGTTCTGTGATATGTAAGATCAGCAATAATATTATCTGCCTTTCTGATGATGCCACTTGAAAGACACTGAATTTTGAAAAATGATCATTATTTGACATCTTATTTTTCATATAGCTTCCCTTGAAGGAATAGGAAAGCATGCTGATTAATACAATTCTAAACAAAGCATGTACCAAGGCAAAATCTTCTAATAGGGCTACCTATAAACCAGACAAAAGAAAACGTGAAAGAGAGGCGATGGTGATTTTCGTAACTTGAGTCACAATACATGATAGCCTGCTAGGCCTTTTCAAGCAGAGGATTAAGGAAAGTGTAAATAGAGTGGAGCAACATAATTATGTAAGTTATCAGTCCAATCGAACCAGCAACTAATGCTCCTGTTACTTGGTTGCAGTACTTCGTGACTTGGCCGCAGACAGGTAGCCAACCTGCACGAGAATTCCCATTCTTTCCCACCTGAGCAACCGCCAAGGCGGCCGAAAGGCTTGAAATGAGCAACATGGTGAATACCTACTTGAAGCAACAAAAGAAACGGCAATTACTACCAAAAACTATAGGCTTGTAGCACTAATGTTTGATATAAGGCTCAGTGTGCTGCATAATTACCAAATCCAAGGCAACAACTAATCGCCAGAGTGGACTCCCTGGAGGATGAAACAGAACAAGAAAACCATATACAGTAACAATTGCATTTGCTATCACAAAATACCTGCAGAAGCCCTTTTCAGCAGTCAAGACAAAGGTACAAGTAAGTATAACTGTAGAAGAATAGTTGATTAAACTTACTTGAAGGATGGTGTGTCAGTGTACTTTGCTTCATATGATACTGTAAAGAATGTACCCTTCTCATGGCTTGTAGCCATGATAATCACTGCTGCAAGTGTGGCCCCAACGGCAATAAGCCTTAGCAGGAGGCTGAGTAGCCTCTTGGGCTTCATCATTGATGCTAACTTGAAAGTTTGAGTGCACTAGAAGCGTTGAAAGCTGTCGTTTGCAGACAAAGCTGGAATATAAAGCAGAATTGATGAAGGCAGTACGTTCTTTATACGGTTGTCAGCTAAGAAGTCAGAAATGAAGGGTGGTGGTGACTGGTGCGCTAGTTTTGGTCCTTGCATGTGCTTTGTTAATTAGTTGAATTCCCCACCCGTCACCAACACTGTCCAGTAAGATTTTTTTCTACTTTTTCTGCCATGCGGACTTTAAGGGCATGCAGCCTATGGCTTATATTGGCTTGTGGAGTTGGTTTTTCTTGATGTGGATGAATTTCATATGGCTATGAATGATTAAAAGAGGAAGAATCCATATTGAACCCTGTCCCAATCCATGCTTTAGGTAATCAGTAATCTATCATCTGACGACTTATAAGTGATTTATGTATGAATATGCAAGTGAAAGCTTAGAAAAAGTATGGCCATGGACATGTCATTTAATTTGACCTACCAACTGATAGCACTATAATACATCATATCCCCAAATGCAAATTTGAAATTCCTCTCCCTTAAATACCAATTAATCAAGAATATCAACAATATATGAGTCTCCACCCTAAAAAATTGGCCCCACCTCAAATCACTCTAATCTCAAATTTCAGGTATCTTTAAATAATGAATACCAATTAATCAAGAAGATCAACAATATATGATTCTCCACCCTAAAAGATTGGCCCCACCTCTAATCACTCTAATCTCAAATTTCAGATATCTTCAAATAATGAATCTCTAATGAGATATTAATTATGACATGAGAAGTGATAGTAATGGAAGCGATGATGTTAGTAATGGTTTCTTCATTAACAAGCTAAAAGTTGAGGAAAAAAACATGAAAGATATTTAAAAATATATATTGATTTAGACAATGTTTGTTGCTATTATCACAAAAATAAATTTATTCAAGAATTATACAGATATGATATATATTGACAAAGTGAATTTGAGATTTACACTTCATAACACGCTAGAAGTCAATGGAAAAAGAATAATTTGCCACACTTTTTATGTAAAATTTAACATAAGCGATTAAAGCTATTGTCTAGAATTACAATACTATTAAAGCTGATACTAAAAAAAAGAGCTGGGTAGCCTTGATTCTACATGAAGAGATCGAGACATAAACAATTACTTGAACTTTAGCTATTTTTAACTTGGATAGACCGGTACAGAGTTTTTTTTTTGTTAAAAAATATTTATTTTATTTTATTTATTAAAAATAAAATAATATTTTTAATTTAATTTATATATAAGCTTTTTATATTTAGGTTAATATAATATGTTTAATACAAATCAATTGAGGAGAATTCTAGTCTTCTTCTCTTTCATGTTTGTAGTTATTTTTGTGTGAATTGAATTGTTTTAACATTTCTTTACTTATTATTTTGTATTATTCAGTTTTATAATTTTTTTATCCAGTACTTTAGTTCTAAAACTATTATAAATATATTTGTCTAATTTATATTTTAGCATAGACTTAAATGAATAAAATAAATTTTTTTAGGTTTATTCTTATAAATTTAGTGTTCTTGGCCTTTATGATTTTTTCTTGTAATAAATCAGGTTATCTTTTCCTCCCCGATGCCTCACTTTTTTAATTGTATATGATTTATTCACATACGTAGGTTTTATTCCGAGCAACAACGGCATGACTTTCTCCAAATAATAAGAAGCAAACATCCCGAATTATCACCAAGAAAACGAATGTTGAATGAACCCAGAAACGTGCTATCCTTACAAAATAAGCTCGGCATGACTTTCATTTTCATATTCAATTGCTGCAACACAAGGAATGACCCAATTCAGTGCAGAAAATCTTCTTGCTTGAGATAGTGGAAGAAATTAAAGTTTAAGTTTGCAATAATTCAATGAGAATTATAAAGAACTAGCGATGAGGAGAAATGAAAAGAAGTGGCATAGAAAAATAGCTCGAATATATTAAAAAATAAGTCATAGATTTGAAGGAGGATGCAGAAGAATCCTTGCTTCTTGACAATCACTTGTTACTTTCATTATTGACCTGTAACTTCTTCGATTTTCCCTTACTAACCTCTAACGTTGTCATTGTCCAAGGCAAGGTTTTACCAAAATAGTCAATAAAATCATGATTGTTTGAATAAAAAAGATCAATTCTAATTTTCCAGATTCATTGGGTTTTTAATTTTTTTTTATTTACTTCTATCTCATTTTGTTTTATTTGTTTAATTCTACTTTTGTTTTCAATCTTATTAATCTTTAGCGAGTATGTTTGTCCAATTCTTAATTATCGAATTTAACACTGGACTTGGATGGGAGGTTTGCATGAACATAAAACAATAATTGCAAAGCTCAAATTAAGAAATTAAATTGATAAAAATTCCATTTATAAGATAAAAAAAAATAACAGATAAACCGTGCAGGTGGTTTAACCTTTATACGAAGAAGCCCTTCAAGAGAATTATTCTTTAATAATTAAGATATATTCTTGTATGTGAATTTTATCAGCAAGAGAGTTAAAAGTTATTCGTGAATCTTTCTCAAAATTACTGATTGGCTTCGCGAATCATAATAAGAGATTCATGTTTTGTTTTTTTTATTGACGAACTTGTAGTATCATTGAAGAGATCATGCCACGTACGGAGCCTCAGATCAATACCTCTCAATCCCATAATAAATACATCTAATTAATGTGCTTTTTTGCACAAAAAATTAGAAATAAAAAATTAATTAAGTCGCGTTTGTTTTAAAAATGTTATTCAACTTTTACCCCAATTAATATTATTTCTATAATTAAATATTTGTTTTGAGTAAAATTAAAAATTGTTTTCTTGAAATATTGGTAAAATCATAAATGATTTTTTAATAAAGTATTCAGCTTTCTAAACACATAATTAGCTTCTTCTTTTTTACCAAATATAAAATGGCTTGGCTTCATTGAATACTTATTTTTTTTCAGCATTTTTTTATGGATTATATATGTTACACGGTAGATCTATTATTTCTTGATTTATTTCGGTGAAGAAAGATGATTTGTGTATGAAAAGGCTCCCGTTAAATGAATAAGTTAAATTACTCTCTATAAAGCTTGGCATATAGAACTCATAAAACACAAAATAATAATAATAATAATAATAATAATAATAATAATAATAATAATGTTTCTTCAAGGGGAAAGAGTCATCATAACTGGATCCAGACCTGCTTCTCGTTTGAAAAAATCCAAATCGAGGAGAATCCGAAAGCAGTTTTATTTGTAACATTATCATCCAAATTAAAGCAGTAATTTCCATGTTTCATAATATGATTCAGCATCACCTTCTTCAGGTATGGAGGGACAGAGAAGATGCACATTATTTTCAAGAGCCAGCATACTCATCATGCGCCCCTTTTGCCAGCACCTTATCTTGATTCAATTCTAATCATGAACAGATAATGGACAGGGATCACAGGGATCATAATAATGGAGGTCTTCTGTTTAGACAAGATCAGTAGACAAAGCTTGGAGAGGAGATGGAAAAAACTTGGTTCAAGTAATGATTGTTCTTCGGGGTTTTTTTATATATATATATTAAAAGAAAAAAACAAAAACTTGGTTCTTGCCTTCCTCCCTCTTCTTATGCGGTGTCTCGTTGTCTGACCTTGCATCATTTGATTCCTTGAGAAAAACGAGACTCCATAAAAGAATCTTGCTCATGGAAAAATCGTGGCTCCCCTAAGATTTCATGAAGAACACAAATTGCTTGCTAGCTGGATCGCACAAGAACTGCTCTGCGAAATCATCGTACACACTGGTCCTCAACCTTTTGTGTTCTTAGTTCTGAATTGTTTGGCACTTGTATATTTTTTTTTAATTAACGAGAAATATATTTAAATCAGATTATGTTTTGATGATGTTGTTGAAAATCTCGTCTTGCAGGACTGATGAGGTTGAAAGACGGGTAATGTTGTGACTTAGCAGTAATGGGTATCTTCGGGATTGTGTTACTAGTGATAATTTAACGTATTTTTTTTGTAAAAAAATATATTAGATAGATTTTTTTTTATTTTTTAAATTTATTTTTGATATCAAAATATAAAAAAATATAAAAAAATTATTTTAAATTACAATAAATTAATTTTTTAAAAAACAATATATAGTTTGCACTCCAAATACACTGGAAAACATATACACCTACAAAACCTTCGAAACTCAAAAGTATTTAAGGTTTAAATGAAAGGGAATAAGATGATCTTACCTTAAAACTGAAGATAGCATTGAACCCACATGTGCTCGTACTGTAATTGAGTGTGCATGTACGTTTTTATTGTCTTGGTTTGTAGTGAATGGAGTAGTAACTTGGTGGAGATTTGGTAAATATTATGTTTTTAAAATGTTTTTTAATTTGAAAATATAATAAAATAATATTTTATATATTAATTTATTAAAATAATATAAAAACATTTAAAATTTAAAAATACTACCCAAAAAAACACTATTTAAGTTAAAGAGTGTGTAGATGCTTGGATGTAAATGAAATATCCGAAGATGAAGATAGTATTTAGAAGTATAATTATAGTTGTTGTTTAAAGAGTTTTTTTTTAATATATATTAAAATAATATTTTTATATTTTATAAAAATTATTTTTAATTTAAAAAAAATAAAAAAAATAATTATTTAAAAAAACACAGTTTAAAACATAATTTTAAATAACCTATAAATAAATATATCAGGCAGCATCTTCATGTGTTGGAGGGTTGCTCAGATCTTGGGATGCATTAAGCAATCAATGATCCCAAGCCCAAAACATAGGTAAATGCCTCGGAAGATGTTGGGTCTTCAAGGTATCCCGAATCCAAATCGAGGCTCATGCTCGGATGATTACAGGCTGGGCTATTTACACCTATGTAAGTCTATGGGCTCGCATCACTATTGGGCTTGCATTCTTATCGGACCAAGAAATGTAGATTGTTCTTGGACTTGGTCTGAGTTGGTCACAAGATCAAGAACCACTTAAACTTGAGCGCGAGGTACTTCTAATCTAACGAGAGACTGATGTATGGTTTTTCTTTTTTTTTTCTTTTTTTTATTCAGTTTCATAATTTTGTCTTAGTCCAGCTTAGGTCTAAAACTATTATAAATATATTTGTCTAATTTATATTTCAGAAGAGACTTAAATTAATAAAATAAAATATTTTGGGTTCATTCATGTAGGTTTAGTGTTCTTAGTCTTCATCGATTTTGACTTCTAATAAATCAGCTTCTGGAAACGTAACTTTCTTCTTGTATATGATTTATATATTCACATACGTTGGTTTTATCAGGAGCAAGAATGGCATGACTTTCTCCAAATGATAAGAAGCAAACAGCATGAATTACTACCATGAAAACGAATGTTGAATGAACCCAGATATTATTGTGCTAATCTTACGGAATAAGCTTGGCATGACTCTTTCATTTTCATATTCAATTGCTGCACCACAAATAATGATCCAATTCAATCTTGTTGTTTGAGATATATGGAAGAAATTAAAGTTGAAGTTTGCAACAATTTAATGAGAATTATAAAAGAAGAAGTTGGAATTAAGGTTAACTAACTCCACCGTGTATCTAAATCTACTCCAACAGAAATCCCTAACGTTAAAAGTTTTTTGCTCCTGTTCTGCAGCATGTTTTGTGTTGCTGTCTTTGCTTTTTTTCACTTCTTCTTAGTAGGTTTATGTCTCTACTGTGGATAAAACTTCACTTCTTTGATGGGTCAAATTTTGCTGCATGAAATTGAAAATCTGTTGGAAATGCCAGCCGATGCATTCGTTAGTTGAAACAACATGGACTCATCCACAGTTTATGATCTATTCCTTAAATTTAATTCAAATTATAGTTTCGTTTATGTTTCGATTGCGTCAAGATTGCAATAAGATTTAAGAGTCATGTTTTCATGACTATTTAATTTATATGAAACTTTTATCTCGTCAAGCAAATATATTTATTTTATTTTATTGTAGAATACCAACTAAAACTCAACGTTGAACAAAGAAGTAGAGTCAAAGACAAAGGAGAAATGCAATACATTTTAAAAGGGCAGCCGCTTAAGAACAAAAACTCAACATTTTGTTTTCTCTGTGGTTGTAAAAATGGAATGCCATTGATGTGTTGGTGATGTCTTCTTCATGCTTGAATCCAAGAGTGCTTAATTTGGGGGTGTCTTCTTCATTAAAACGCAGCCAGCCACTTCATCGATGTACTATCAGTTACATTTGTTGCGTTAGAATTATCGATGAGGAGAAATGAACAGAAGTGGTATAAAAAATAACATGAATATATTAAAAAAAAAAAAACAAGTCGTGGATTTGAAGGAGGATACCAAAGAATCCTTGCTTATTGACAACCTTTTACTGGAATTATGGGGCATCTGACTTCCTTTCTTCCTAATCAGATTCATTCTCGAAGCTAGTTCCCACATGCTCGTAGTTCAAAGAAAACAACAATCACAAGCTTTAAGTTGGAAAAAACTTGATTCAAGTAATGCTTCTTCTTCATTTTTTCTTATATAAAAAAGGAAAAATAAACCTGGTTCTTGCCTTTCCTCCATCATCTTAGCGCTGTCTCGCCATCTAACCTTGCATCATTTGATTCCTTGACCAAAACTAGACTCCATAAAAGAATCTGGCGTGAAAAAATCGTGGCTCCCCTAAGATTTCAAGATCACAAAGTGCTTGGCTTCCTGGATCACACGAGAACTGCTCTGCGTTCATCGTGCACATTGGACCACAAGTATGAGTGAAACGAAACACTGCAAGAGACTTGTTAAATTATGAATCGAGCGTCCTAATGTAGGCAGAGCATGAACTGGGAAATGTCACTTAAATATGTTACTTTATTTTTATTTTTTTATTAACGAGAAATATCCTTAAATCAGATTATGCTTTTGATGAAGTTGAAAATCTCGTCTTTTGATGAAGACTGGTGAGGTTGAAAGACGGGCAATGTTGTGCCGTAGTAGCCATAACAAATACGAAACCAAGTTTTCGAAATTAACTCAATAGTATTTAAGGTTTAAATAAAAAGGAATAAGATGATCTTACCTTCAAACTAAAGATAGCATTGAACCAACCATCTAGGTGGTGGTCAAGTGGTAAGAATTTGAGATTAAGGGGTTTGCTCCCTCTGTGGTCTCAGGTTCGAGTCCTTGGTTGCTCATATGATAGCCACTGGAGGCTTATATGATCGTTAACTTCAGGGCCCGTGGGATTAAAAAAAAAAAAAAAGAATAACGTGTTTGTCATCTATAATTTTATAGTATTTAAAGATAAAGGCACAATAGTGACAATGAATCATTGAAAAAACAAACATAATGTTGGGTTGTGTGGGCTATGTATAATTCATGAATAACATTCTATTTGTTTTTATGTTTTAATTTTTTTTAAAAAAAATTAAATTTTATTGTATTGTTTTTTATTTTAAATTAATATGTTTTTAGGTGTTTTCTAATTATTTTGATGCACTAATATCAAAAATATTTTTTAAAACAATAAAAAAATATTATTTTGATGTATTTTCAAGTGAAAAACAACTATAACCATAACTACAATCCCAAATATATTTTAAAACAATATGTTAATATGTTTATAAGCATGCATGTACATTTTTATTTTCTTAGCTAGGAGTGAATAGATTAATAAATTGTTTGAATTAATGGTAGATGTTTTGTTTTTAAAGTGTTTTTTATTTGAAAATATAATAAAATAATATTTTTATTTTTGATAGATATTAATACATTAAAATAATTTAAAAATATCAAAAATTTAATTTAAAATTTAAAAAACAATAAAAAATTGATTAAGGGCTTATGTGTTTAGATGTGCATCAAACATATGAAGTTAAGAGGAGTGTTTGAAAAAGTAGTTATAATTTTTTAAAATGTTTTTTGTTTAAAAATATATTAAAAAAATATTTTATTTAAAATTTTTTTTTTTAATATCATAGAATATAAAAATAATTAATTTTAAATAAAAAACTAATTTCATAAAAACACTATTTAGAACATAATTCTAAATAGTACCAAAATAGATCGGGCAGCATTTTCTCTAATTGTTGGAGGGCTGCTAACATCTTGGGAATTAAGCAACCAAGGATCTCAAGCCCAAAATGTGGCCTCGAAAGGTATTGGGCCATCAAGGTATCCCGAATCCAAATTGAGGCTCATGCTAGTATGATCGAGGTTGGGCTATTTACGCCTAGGTAAGTCTAGGGACTCGCATCAATATTGGGCCTACCCAGAAATATAAGATTGTTATTGGGCTTGGTCTGAGTTGGATAAAAACTTAGGCCCATCATACTGCAACCGAAACTAATTTCTCCTCGTCAATCTTAAGGACATATTTCAATATCAGTTTTGTACATTCAGACAAATTTATAAATCCTCTCGATGCTAACGTGCTGTTTAGAATTGCTTTTTAAATTGTAAATATTTTAAAATTATTTTTTTTATGATTTTGGATGGATTTAATGTATTAAAAAAAAAAAATTTATGATTTTGGATGGATTTAATGTATTACTATTTAAAATAACTTTTAAAAATAAAAGAAATATATTATTTTAATATATTAATAAACAAAAAAAATTTAAAAATTATTATCATTACATTATCAAATATTTTAGATTTGAATCCACAATAAACTTTTTTACATGGCAGGTCGACCCATCGAGTATAAAAGTCTATTTTTTAAATTTTATTTTTGATAAATAATAAAATCATTCAAGAACATATAAAAATAATAAAAATAATTTATAACTATAGTTACACCACCTTACTGAACCAGGCTTAAATCTTTTGCTTTATTGGACTGCGATATCGAAGATTGTAAGGTCTGGGAGTTGAGCAATGAGCCTTCCTTTAGAATAGGGCTGTTCAAAGTTATAAGAAACAAGGCAGCTTCACACCATGATTTCTTTTCATTACATTGATGACGTGATATTCATCATATCGCTCAAAGAAGAGCTCTAGATATTGTAAGTAGTCTACAACTCTAAACCCTTCAATTTTTTTCTGAGCAACCAAACAGACAAGAGAAAGAAAAGAATGGCACTCTCTTTCTCTCGAACTTCTCTCTCGATAACCCAGAAATACTTTCCTTCAAAAATCCCCGCAACAAAATCAACAATCCTAAACCTCCTCTCTTATAAACCCCACAATCTCAACAAGTTCTCTACAATCTCAAAACCCAACTCTTTCTGTCTGACCATCACAAAACTCTCAAAAAACCCAAAACCCAAATCCCATCCTCAGCCAGTAAGATCACTCTTCACTGGTATAGTTGAGGAAATGGGCACCGTTCAAAGCTTGGGTGACACTAAAGATGGTGGCTTCGACCTTAAAATAGAGGCAAAAACAGTACTTGAAGGTGTGCATTTAGGTGATAGCATTGCAGTTAATGGGACTTGCTTAACTGTTACTGATTTCACTAACGAAGCCTTCACTGTGGGGTTATCTCCTGAAACTTTGAGAAAAACTTCTCTAATTGAGTTGAAGACTGGATCTTTGGTTAATTTGGAGAGGGCAGTCCAGCCTAATAGTAGAATGGGAGGACATTTTGTGCAGGGTCACGTGGATGGCACCGGTGTGATCGTAGAGAAGGAGCCAGAGGGTGATTCTTTGTGGATTAAAGTGAAAGCAAATAAAGGGCTGTTGAAATATATTGTGCCAAAGGGGTTTATTGCAGTGGATGGGACTAGTTTGACAGTTGTTGATGTTATGGAGGAAGAAGAGTGTTTTAATTTTATGTTAGTGGCTTATACACAGCAGAAAGTTGTTATTCCTTTGAAGGAAGTCAGTCAGAAGGTGAATTTGGAGGTGGATATTTTGGGAAAGTATGTTGAGAGGTTGCTTAGTAGTGGGTTTGTTGATTCCTTCAAGGGTTCTTCATGATTAAAGAAAAATGGAGGTAATGAATGTGGTTTTGTTGTTTTGAATTTGGAATATATTTTTTAACCTTTTCATTTAAAGGAAATTTGAATATAGATGATAGGTTTTTGTTGTTATTTCGACTGATTTAAGATATTTGTTGTTGTGTCTCTGTGAATGTTAACGAGGAGATGTCTAGTGGAAATTTGATTTTCATTTGAATTACTATATACAGTGAAGTTGTCCTAGTGGTCCAAAGTGTATAAAAAACAAATTATAGATTGTTCCTTATTGTTGTTATAACTTGAGAGGAATGAATTTGCAGAAATCCTGATCTTCGTTTCATAAGTAGTCACTAGCATTTCGGAGAACATAGTTTGCAGGATTGTGCTCTTGACGTTTACTAGCTGAGCAATAGTGTCTTTAGACCAATTCATACTTTTTATCAATTTTAGTTTGTAGAACTGGCAATTGTGAAAACACCAACATGTTTAGCGTGAACTTTAGTAAGATTCTTACTTTGTTTCTTCTTCTTCCATGCCTTTTGTTGTCAACTGGGAAACCTCAAATAGTCAATGAAAAATTAAGTAGATGATGTCGGGCAACCATGGGAATATTAAATTGAGAGCTATACTGCCTTTCAAGCTAAACCAATGTGGTGGAAAAGGTTTGGAATAAAGTTATTGAAGTCCAGAATAATGACTATAAGAAAGATCAAAGTTGGATGTGTTCTAACTAACCACAAGGAAAAATTAGAGGTCTGCTAGTTAGCCTATGCTAGCTGCATTGTAATTTTTAATCATGGATGTGGTCACGATTGTTATCACAGATTGCGGCCTATCTCACACATAAAAGAATGGTCATGTTCATTGTTGTCATGAATGCATTAGCAACTCTAAACAAATTTTAATAGTTCATCATTTTCTCATAAGTTTACTAAACATATACAATAATAATAACTATGAAAAAGGTGAAAACAAATATGAAAAATGAACTTGAAATACAAAAATATTCAAAAATTAATTTTATAATTGAACTGTTATTGAGCTGTTATTTGCAATACAACAGTCATTACCATTATATAACGTTGTTATAGCCATTATTGGTGTTATTTGCCGGTAATGATTCTATAACACTGAATAACAGTAACAGGATACCATGATTCTGTTAAATAATGATTTAACGGCTGTTATTTAAAACTGCAGGCTGCATAGTAGTCTTGTGGAGGGCCTAGTGGACTTCTTGAAAGAGCTGCTAAAAACAATATAATCTATGGTCTAGTTCCAGACTTAGGACTCATCCCCTTGGTTTTGGTTTTTCTCTTTTTTCTTCCAAATAATCACTGACTGGAATGCTTAGTTGTTGGTGGGAAAATGATGTGAGGCAGGTCTTAAGTTGTGCCTGGGAGTTGTCAATTAACTTGTCAAACTGCAGAAACCAGTGACAATGACCTTATGATATCATTGGGGATATATAATTATCAATCAAGGCTCAATCTTTGCTTCAGAAGTTCCAAAATTGGTATTGTTAAATGCTAATGATAGCCTTCACTTAATTTCTCAAGTTGCAGTGCATGGTTCCTTTTTAAGATTAATGAATAAAAACATGATAACAATTCTGTATTATTCAATAAAAAAGAGTCTTTTTATGAAAAAACACTGTTTAATTGGTTAAGAAAACACTATAAATGGTTAGTCTTTGCCTTTCTTATTTTTCTTCATCCATCATAAAATCGTGAAGCTTTTTACAGTTTTATCATCTTTGTTTTGTTGGAATCGACAGTGAGAGCTGCAGTTTAAGAGATTTTGCTGCTGAAAAATTCACCTCTCTAAGAACTCATGTTATTGCTGCCATTTCAACTGGGAGTCGAGGACAAGGTTTTCTAAAGTTCCATGTTAAATTTTGTTTTCCCTTATTTGTTAGAAAGCAAAAAATAACCTAGCCAGTCTACACTAATTTGACAAATACAATCTAGTTTCCTTTAGTTTGGCAACTTTAAGCAAACACTGGGCATAATATGTGGAGGAATATCATAAGCTGTTTTTATTTTCTTCCCAATAATAGATAATTTTATCCCTAAAAATTACAATGAAGTTCATTCTTTCCCCTAGTGTGATATTATGCTCAGTGTCTTAAATTTTTTGTCATGTGAGCCACATAAAAATTATGATAATCTATCTGTTAAATCTAAAAAAAAAAAACCATTCTAATAAACAATCACCATCATATGAAACTTGGGAAATTGGGCTGATTACAAACACTTGGAAATTTAAAAGGGGCATTGCAGATCAAGTTGTTTGTTCTCTTTGTTTAGCAGTGAGGAGACTTGTCTCCATTTGCATGGTTGTGTCTTGGCAAAGACAGAGTTCTTCTCTGTAGGTAAGGGGCAATGGTTTGCCTCTATTTCAGGTTTGGTGTTGTAGAGCTCATTCCAGTGGTAGAAGTTGAGATATTTGTGAGGTCAAAATGCCTCAAGATGTGGTAGCAGCCACCACTCTTAGACCTTGGAATTGAATCATAGTAGATGGAAGCCAACTGATCATGCATGGATTATTTTGAACACAGTTGGGGCTTGTGAGAGATCGCCTTGCATTGCTGGTGCTGGGGGCATACCTGCATGATAATATCATAATAGTGGATTTGGCGTCGAGTTTTTTCATTTCAGGTTGGCTATTGCTCAGTTGTTGTTACCTAGATGTGGGCCATCTTGAATAGGTTTGACTGTGGAGCTAGCTTGGGATAGGGATTTTAAGCAGCTGCGGATGGAGATTGATTCTGCTTTCATTCTGTTGTAGTTGCAGAAGCGATACTGTGCTTCTTCTTCCTTGTTTGGTAAGTTGATGGTGCTTAGCGAAATTGGGTTATTAAGAATCATCATGTAACTAGTGTGTCTATAAAAGGGCAACTCATGTGCAGATATCCTTGCCAATTTGGCTACTATGGGTGGTGTAACACCGGCTTTGCTTGTTGATCCCCCTTGGTGGTGTGATAACAGTCCTGTTTTTAGGGCCTTGCATTGTGCAATGTCAACTCAGGCTTGCGATCTGTCCAGAGAACTCGTCCCTGTTACAAACCATCTCTATTCCCGAGTTGTGTTTGGGTGCCTAGCTAGAAAGAAAAATAGGTGCATCTGGAAAATGCCAAATTTTAGTTGTAGATATTAATAATATTGTGATGGATAGCTAACTTTATAGGATGCATGATCTGAATGCGTGTTTTGGTGTCTTCTCTGTGCATACTTTGCTTCAGTCTTTTTATTAATTCTGATTTCCTTGCATGCCGTGAGTCATCTGTTGGAAATGTTGCTTTTGATTGGACGAGACAGGAATCTTCGAGCTGTAATGTGCTTTAAGAACATGAACAATGGATTCCTATGATGATTTTTCTTCACAAAAGAGTGAAGGAGGGAGAGGGCGAGAGGTCATACCGTATCTCAATATGCTTGATGACAGCATTTACTCGGGGCCTATTCATGATATGATTCGGAGCTAGGTTTTGTGATGCTGGTTACTAATAATTACATCACCAACTAACAACAAGCTCTTTGACCCCATGTCAAGTCTACTGCTACCAACCAATTTATCAGATTCCCAGTCATTATTTAAGAGAGAATGCAGGAGAGCCACCTAAAAAACAATTCACAATTCACGCTTGTTGCTATCCCTCTTTGAATTTCTTTGTTATTTATGTTGGTGTCAGGTGGAAGGTGGGAAAATGAGATGTGGACTTGATTATGGACAGCCTAACTAGCTGAAGCTGACATGCACAAGTAGTCTGTGATACCTGGATTTGTTCGGGCCTAAACATTGTCGAGCCGAGAGGAAGGAGGATGACTGTATGTATGGGAATAGTTCATAGATTGAGGTCTTGTCTGCTCGACGTCACCGGCCTTCCTGCTTTCCAATCTCCAAGCTTGCCTTGTTATGTTCTTCACTGTCGTTATTAATAATTCATGAATGAGCTCGCCATTTGAAACCATGTGATGCAGCTGCATAGACTATCTAAAGTTAAAATTTATTTTTCATCTGCTCATGTGATGCAGCTGCATAGATCTAAAGTTAAAATTTATTTTTCATCTGCTAGCCTGAATCTACTCATGAATTTTCAGCCATCAGATTTTTTTTCAGCCATTAATTCTTTTATCCAACAACCATAAACACGGTTTTTTTTTTTAATGTTGGCTAATATTGATTATCAATAATCAATCTCTTACCATCTTGATGCTCATGAGGCAATGAATCGATACCATATGATCACAGGGGGCCCATGTAGGATTTTATTACAAACAAATAAGCAAATACTCGAATGATCACCACCAATATCCTGATGATCACACCATGATGATTCATACAAGTCTTGTATGAATGGTAGTTGATTGCAACACCCAAGGGACCTTTCTCAACAAATCTATAATATTTTAAAGAAATTTAGCAATGTTTGCAAGTATTTTGCAGCAATTTTCAATACCCATTGCTGCAAGTTTTCTATTACAAGTAAATGTAATAGATTAATTTAAAACAATATCTTTATATTTAATTTATTTACTTTATGCAATAACTTAAAGTCCAGATAATGGGTTTTACAAAATAAGTTTAAAAAATATTATTTTAAAAAAATAAATTGATATTTAATTAATTAACGAATGAATTATCAGAGTTTAATTAAAATAACATTCACAATATTTTTTAGAACTTTATATAGGATCTTAAATGTCATGTTGGGTTTAATAAAATAATATATAGTGAGTGATTGGTTGGTCTCTCATGCTATCAAAGCAAAGATGATGTTGGCTTAAGAATTAATTTTCATACATATATCAAATTGACGGCTATGAAAGTAGTTTATTTAACGAGGTGTCCTTCTCATAGTATCACGTGCGCCTCCTTATTCGGTATAGGTCATGTTTTGAATTGTCGGATCCAACTTTTTTTGGTGCCCGCTAAATTATTGTGAAGTTTTAAAATTAAGCACCGTTATGCATTTTTAAAATATTAAATTATTTTTTTAATATTTTTTAACATTTTAATATATAGATGATAAAAATAAAAAATATATTTTTATATACTTTCAAATTAAAAATATTTTTATAAAACACAAGCATCGCAACATCAAATAAACACTAAATTTATAATTCAATGTTATTCTAATTTTCTATCATTTCTAATTAATTATTTATATGTGATTTACCGATTAGATACAACTTTTTAACTTTAAAGATAAAATTAAAGCTTGCTTATTTGTTATTTTATTTTTGAAATGTTTATAAAAAAAATAAATTTTTTATTTTAAATTATTATTATTGTATTTTCATGTTATTGTGATGTGTTGTGTAAAAAATAAATTTTAAGAAATAAAAAATATATTTTTTAATATATTTTTAAATAAAAAATATTTTAAAAAATAATCATTACCATATTATTATTAAACTCTATAAATATATTCTTTGCTCTATGCCATTGTTAAAAGGCTTTTAGGATGATGAAATCATACCGTCCATGCACTAGATTGTGAAAATCTTGTTGGATTTCATTTCACAAAGTGATAGGTACCCTGATTACATATGATTGTAATGGTTCACAATCAAGAATTTAAAAATGTATCATGAGTATGACCTCCTTTTTTGTAGTTTATAATAGTTACTCGAATCAAATTAATGGAGTTCATGGGATGAACATAGTATTAAAATGTAATAGTCTACACCTTTGATTTGTTAATTTTGTTGAGTACTTTTTATTGTTCATGTTGAACTAATTTAACAATAAATCATGGTAAGAAAATTTATCAGGACTAGCTAATTTAAATGAGAATTGATCTAATCAAATTAAATTTCTTGATAAATTAACTTATAAGTTGATTAACTTTTTGTTTTTAAATAATATAAATATTAAGTTAATTTATATATATTTTTATTAATTTTGGACTAGCTTGAGCGGGTTTTATACTAATTTAAATGAGAATTGATACAATCAAATTAAATTTCTCGATAAATTATGTTTTTAAATAATATAAGTATTCAAGTTAATTTATATATATTTTTATTAATTTTATAAGTTATGAAATTAATGATTATATAAATTTTTAATAATTTAAAAAAAAATTAAATTTATAATTATTAAAAAAAAAACTCAAGATGTAATAAGTAAAACTACCCTCAAAATTGAAAATGAATTATACTAGGAAAGAAGGGAACAAGCTAGATAATTTCCCAGAATTCCTTGAACATGTCACCTTCCTCTATTGAATCCATACAAAAACATGTTCCAAAGGGCCCACCGGTCAACAGAGCCTTTGTTTGGAGGTTAACAACAGTGACAGCTTCACCTTGGAAACTTGGCGTCTGCTTTCTCTCTTGTCATCTGAAAATAATCTCTGCTTTGTTTTTGCTGTGGTGGTTCCGTTCTCCACCTTCTCCTTTAACTGCTAGGCCTCTCGACCAATGCCGACCAAACCCACCTCTACAAGATCTGGTATAAAAATAGTGGTTGACAAAATAATTTGTATGACACGTGTCATGATCCCAGATGGCTGATAATCTCTTCTGTCGAGTAAGGACAGCCTCAGGAATAGAAAAATCGTTAGCTCCTACGTATGTTTGGGCACGATAAGGTTAAATCATGTTATTTCGTGGAATGTGTTTTTAAACAGTGTAAATCCTTCCGATTCTTAAGTTTATTGTGCTAATCTGATTTCAACTACGATGTTTAAAAATTTTAAATTAATTTTTGATTTTTTTTAAAATTATTTTAATGTATTGTATTAAAAATAATTTTTTTAAAAAATATTTTTTTAATATATTTTAAAATAAAAAATATTTTAAAAAATAATTAGTATCATCTTTCAAAACAATCTTGTATTATATACAAATTAACTTGTAGTTCAATCAAAATTTAATTTTATTTTTAATTTTAAAAAAATAGTATTTTAATTTTTTTAAAAAGGTTATTAAAATTATATTATTTTAAATTTATCTAAATTTAATTTTTAATCTATGACTTAAGTTTGGAACCATCAAGATACAAGTAAGCTTAATAACTTTGTAAAATAATACACAGTTAATTTTTTTTATCCTCTTTAAATATACTCTTAAAGTGGTGTATTTTTGGATCATTACCTATTGCTGAATTTTTTAAGTTTATCCATCAATATCATACCAATTCATTTATGATGTTATTAACTTGCATTATTAAATGGAATTCCATAATACGTTTCTGTCATCTGAGAAACTTGTCCTTCTAGTTTACAACTATCACTCTCTAGTTTTTTTTTTAATGTTTTAATATAAATTAATTAGAGACTTGAATCAAATAAATCTTCATTTTAGAACAATTTATTTGCTAAAATAACTTCACTCTAAATTGTTTTGTCAGGAATTAATCAAGCATCGACATTGCCTACAAACTTTAATCATATTCTTACTACATGATTATTAGGGGTTGCGATATATAATTTCCTTTTCTTTTCCTTCAAGTCTCAACAAGAGTCATAATAGAATTAAAACATTAATTTAAAAAAAAATAGTGAGAGGGTATTGAATTCGTATGTTGATAAATAACTTAAATATATAATAAAATTTATGTTTTCAATATATACTATATAATAACAATTCAAAATTTAAAACAAAAAAATTCTGAACTCTTTTAAAATAACATAGAAACTGGTTTATATCGGTATGAAATAATTTAATAAATAAGGTAGATTGATACCCAAGAAAATGCTATATTTTTCCCTAATTATATGTATAATACCTAATTTATACACCCAATTTTTTTTAAAAAATAATAATAATTTTTGAGATTTCCATGAGAAAATAGAAGGGTATGAGAGAAAATTGGGATCACAAATTCAAAACAAAAATCATTTATAGTATCTTCCCTCTCCACCACTTCTTTAATCCTCCAATACCTTCTTGTTCTTTCCCATGTCACGATTCTGTTTTCATTCTCAATAACCTTGTGAAGCTGGAGATGCTTGCGTGCTCCCATCTTGTCCATACACGTGTCGACCATTAACTGACTACTTCATGAAAAAATCAACCTATCAGGACTCACTCCGACACGTCGTCTTTAAAAACCATCATCGACATGCCGCGAAAAAACCTCTGCTCGTTTGTATTATTACTATATTGCCCCTTTTAAATTTTAATCGGATTCTAGAAGTAAAGTTCCCCTTTTACAGGATTACCCCTCCCTTCCCTTCCCCTTCACTTTTACAGGATCGTGACTGGAGAGTTATTACTAAAGAGCATTTGTTTATATCGTGTTTAATATCGTGATGATTGTTTTTTAAGTATATTTTATTTAAAAATATATTAAAATAATATAAATTCTTATTTTTAAAATTATTTTTAATATTAATAAATTATTAGAAATATTTAATTTGAAGTAAATAAATAAAATTTAAATTTTATAAAACAATTTTAAAATACAAAACTAAATAAAATTTTAAAAAAATTACTGCATGTATAAATTATTTAAGTCTTTTTTTTTCTGGAGTTTCCTCTTCTTCTTTTTTTCTAGATGTACCAAAAAAACGTCTATCCCAGTTGAGTGATTCAAATAATTTTAATCATTTAATATTCATCATTAATGAATTTCAATCCAATAATTAGGATTCATTAATTACTTCAAATCCATAACTATTATTATTATTATTATTATTATTATTCAAAAACTCACAAGATAGATATTTTAAAATAAATAGTATGTATAAAAGTTTATTTTTATTAAACTAAATATTTTATGGATCATTGATTTAACAACAAGTAGTCTAGCTCTATTTTTTATCACGTCCAGCATACTTAAAATTGAGAATAAATCATATAGATTAAATATATTTATATCAGACGTTATGGATACCCTTCTATCTATGCTAATATTACTAAAGTTTTTATATTGGAGATTATTTTACATTCTTGTCAATATTTTCTATATTTAATTTAATATATAATGATCTTATTGGGATATATATATATATATATATATATATATAGTTTTTAAATTTATTGTCAAATTAATAGCATCCTGTTAATTATTCAATAACATCAACATTAAAAAAATAAATAAAAGTGTGAGAAAAAAATAAAATTTATGATTTATCAAAATGATAAAAATAT